TCTGAAAAGAACGTGCTACAAATAACATTTTTGTTGTGTTTTGGTTTGTTTTTTTTGACTCAAAGTTAAGAAGATTGTCTAAGTCCTTTTAAAATTCCAAAACTGTGCTTTTTACAAAGTTTCTATCTAAAAGCACCTTAAGGGGTCAAAAGGCAACCAGCTTGGGTGCTACCTCATTGCTGTCACCTCTGGTCCGATGCGTCCCTGCTCACCCTCACCCCAAACTGCTTGGAAAGGGCATTTGCACCATTTCCTGAGAGACATGGTCACTCTCGCACGGTCCCAGGACCAGGATTCACATCACATTTCAAACTTTATTTGCTTTGGGGCTTTATTTCTGTTGTTGTTCAAATGCAAAAACAAACAAAAAAACAAACAAAAATACTCCTTTTGTTACTACATGCTTCGAAAAATGTGTCCAAATGTTACTGACCACAGTGACCAGCTTGGGTCTACAAAGGAGGCTGCTCCGGGCGGCACAGGCTCCTGGGCAGTGGGTGGGGCTGGGGGTGCAGCTGGCTTAAGTGCTCGGAGAAAGATGCCATTTCTCGATGTGGTTTCCCAAGATGTGTGTGGAAATGTCCATTTGTGTCTGGATGTGTCCCGTGCCATTTTTCTTCTAGCACTGAGATGCAATAGCGAACACAGGAAAAGAAAAGCTGTTTCATGGAAAATGGCTTTGAAAAATGTGGACCCAGGCTACAGAGGGGGCCTCCGAGGCTTCGGGACAGAGGAGCGAAACCCAGAGCTTAATCTCAGCCCCGTGCTCAGCCAGGCAGAGGACGAGGCCGAGGCTGTGGGCCGGTCACGGCCTCCTGGTGGCCTGGGGGTGGTGGGGCGAGCTGACCAGGGCCCTCTCATGATATCAGAGCCCACAGCCCACATTAGGGGCCAGCTAGGAGCATGGCCCAAGCGCTTTACTTTCTCATCAAAATCACTACTGCTCCCAGCTTGGACTAGATATTCTCTGTAGCAAGCAGCTTGGTGAGGCCCCAGAGGCCCAAGGAAAGCCCGTGGGCAGGAGGAACCCCATTTCTGTCTAACAGACGAGGACGGCAGTGGTTCCCCATCCTTGCCTCCTGCCTCCGCTATTCTCAGGCCTAAAGAGAATTCTCATCACCAGTTGAGTGGTTTCCGGAAGCTCCAGGGCTTCTAAGAGACCATCAAGGGAACTTGACAAACATCCTTGCAGTCAGACTTCTCATCTTTAGGAAAACCTGCCCTTCATCCCTCTCTGCCTCTCGCCGCTGCTCGCAGCCGGCTGTGGGCCTCCCGGCGGCTGCCTGCAGTAGCAATCTAGACCTCGGGGAAGGCAAACGTGAGTCCCAGAGGGATATTGGGGAGGTGAGAGGAGGGAAATGGGGCAGAACCCCCTCACTTAGCTGTGGGGGAAACCACCGGCAGGGAGGAAGGACTTGCCCAGGGTCAGCCAGCTGGGACGCAAACCCGGTTCCTGACACTCAGCACAAGACGCTTTCTCTCTGTAACTGGCATCTGAGCAATGCCTACTACCCACAGGCAGGTTAGCTGAGGTCCGTCCTATGGCTGTTGGGTGAGCAGCCTTTCCTGGATCTGCTCTCAGGAGGGAAAAAACCATGAGAAACACTGGGTGGCTGACAAATGACCCGAGACAACTTTAGAGACCAGGGTAGCCAGGTAGCCAGGTGGGGGCTGGGGGGGGGGGTGGTGAATAGATGATAATTAGATAGATGGGAAGAATACATTGTACATGTCCACTGCTCCACATTTTCCCACTTGCTGTCATCATTTTCCAGAAGTTTGATAGCGTGCAGAAATATGAACTCCAGCCCAAGTCTCTGTTGCCCTAGGCCCTGGCCGAGGCCGGGTTCCCTCTTCCATCAACACTTCCGTGCACAGGAGACCGGGAGGCCAGCCTTCCACATACAGCATCTTTGCAAATTGATCCAGGAAGAAAGCTATTAGTTCATTTTTCCCATCGTGCATGTATTCTGCCCTCCATGCATCACCCAGCCATCATTTATTGAGCACCAACTGTATACCAGGCCTGCGCTGGGTGCCAGGAGCACCATGGGGAAGCGTAGGATGCCATCCCGGAGGGCAGTCTTGACGCAGTCATTGAACGCATGCTGTCATCAAAGGATAGCCTCCCTGGGTTGGTCAGGGACGGCTTCTGGTAAGAAAGACCAAGTCCTCACAGGTCTTCGGGTTGGGCTTCTCTGTAGACCGCGGTTTGAGCGGAAGGAGAGGCGCAGCAGCGCCCCTGGAGCCGGGCTTCTGGGACAGTCCTGAAGTTCGCGGGCGGGAAGGGAGGCAGGGGCAGCTGGGGTGGGTTTCCTTCTAGAAGGCCAACAGCACTGTGTCTGTGCTCAAACAAACGTGGGTCACGGGACTTGAGCAGGCGGACACCGTTTGGAGCGAGGGCCTGGATTTCAGCTCAGTTCTGAGTCCCGAGGCTCACTCAGAGGCCCTTCCTGGCCCTCGGGGGACGCTGCCCACAGCACACGCCCTGGCTGCACTCGGCCTGGCGCCTCTACATGACACAGCCCGAGATTTTCCAAAAGAACTAAAACGAGGGGAGAATGAACAACTAAGCAAGGAAAGCCAAGGAACCCTAAACATGTCAGCCATGACTAGCTGTCTACCGGGATCTAAGACCCGCTTTTCATTCTGGAGACTTCTTACCCTGCCCCTCTTCTCAGATAGGAAGGCCCACGGTCACCGTGACTTGGGAAGGTAAGGCAGGCCAGTGGGATTCGTAACCCTCCTCGGTGAGCGAGGCTTTCTCATGGGGCTGCGAGCCTGTCAACTCGGGAATTGTCCCAACAGAGAGGCCCGTTCCCTCCCAACTTCTAGGCTGAAATCCAGGGGTATTGTCGATGGAGATCTGCCTCTGGGACCAAGTGCATATGGAAGCCCTGTTTGGACCATGTGGCTGTTTGGAGCAGCACGAGTCATCACCAGCACAAGGAGGAAGGGCTTTCAGAATCGAGCTGGTGGGAAAGGAGCCTTGGGCTGCGGGAAGCCGAGGCAGGGAAGGGCGCGTGGGGTCAGCGTTACCAGGGGATCCCCGCCAGGAGGCAGCTGCCTGCCCTCTAGCCCAAGACTTACCGGGACCCCATGTACCCATGGAACCCAGGCCTTAAAGGGGCCTAATAGTTCACTTCACCCTGGGGCTCAAAATGGACAGGGAGAGACCAGAGGCTCAGCGGCCACACATTCCATTGTTTCGCTCCAGAGTGAAGTCTCTGGCTGGGGAGCAGCTATAAGTAGGGAAAGTGAAGAGGCTCATCCTTCGTGGGCTCTTCACTCGTGGATGCATCCATTCAACAGAGTGTGGACAGCCTGCCGTGTGCCGAGACCACTCGTGGCCCTGGAAATACAATAGTGAAGAAACACCCAGGCCCTGCCCTCCTGGGAGAGGCCACAAATAAGTCAGTTTCTGGTTGCAGCAAGTTCAACGCAGATCAGAAGGTTCCTAAGTGTGGGGGTGGGGCCCAGAGAGGCGTGCACGGCAGTAGTGAAGGAAGAGGTGCACTCGAGCTTTTCTCTGAACACAGGTGTGACACAGGCAGAGCCGGGACAGGCAGGACAGGACACAGGAAGGACAGGACAGAGGGGCGGGGCGTGGCAGGAGAGGCCCATCTAGAGAACAGCTCCATGGGCATCCTCCGCCCGCTCCACTCGGGCTCCGCTCAATGGAGTGTACCCCGGTTTCTCACTCATTCCTACGGCCACACACAGGGCCAGCGGAGGTGGGGACCTCCGAGAGGACACCTTACCTATCTCGGGGGAGCGGCCTGAGGAGGAATGTTCGTGAGAGGGCCTTTTGCAAAGGGGCATGAGCCCAGGAATGAGAGATCCTTATCAGTCGGTGTCCATTGGAGGTTGAACCTAAAACCTGGATGGTGATTGGCCAACGTTAGCCAGTCACTCATCTCTGACCCTCTCCTCTTTACCATGGGGCTTCAGCCTGCCCGGCACCAGTGAACCGTGTGGCATCCTGGGTTGTCCTGTGATGAACCAGCCTGCAGGCTTGCTCCCTAGTCAGAGGGGCTGAGATGAGGCCTCACGGGAGCAGTGTGGTCGGGTAACGTCACTCACCCGCTGGGTGGTCGTGGGGAAGTCACCGCACCTTCTCGTGCCTTGGTTTTCTCACAGGTCACAGCGGGGGTGGGGGGAGGACTCCAGCTCCCCCTGGCCGTGGGTAGTGAGGACAGGAAGAGAGGGTCGGCTGACAGAGGCCCGAGCCTGTCTCAGATGTGGGGAGTCAGCCCGCACCCTTTCCCTGGCGAAACCTGCCCCAAGCCGGGGTGACTGCCTGCTCCCCACCCCAAGAAATGCCAGATTCACTTGGAGAAGAGAGTTTTGCTTGTTGTAAGGCTGCCCCTGCAGACCTGACGTTAAGCTTTGGGTTTTGTTTCTTATAATTTGTTACTAGATGTGGGCTCTGTCACCTGGGAGAGCCCTCTGGCTGCAGGCCCGGCCTCGGCGGTGGGCTCCTGAGCTTCCCGGGCTCGCCTGGGCTGCCGCAGGGAGTGAGGGTGGGTGCGGCCCCTCCTTTCACGAAGCAATGGCTGCCTTTCCCCAAGGGCGGGCGCTCTGCTGTGGGGAGCTGCGCGCTTGTGCAGCTGTTCTCCTTCTTACAGGAAGCCCATCCTGGCCACGGGTGGCTTGGGGTGGTGTGCCAGGGGACACTCCACCCAATGACCGACTCTATGATGTCACACCTGGTGAGAAGCAGTTCCCAACTCAATTCATCTCAAAGCCAAAAACAGAGCACACCCCACTTTATGACAGGCCTCAAAGACATTCAATGTCTCATTTCCTTAGAAACGTTGCAGGCTTTCTCTCCTGGAGCCAGCACGGCTGTGAAACGCAAGCTAGGCGGTCGCACATGCCCTGCGGCCACTCCGAGGGGCATCCCACTCGCCCCAGAGGGCGTCAGCTCCCCGTGGCTGGCGCGCCTCGGTCGCGTTGCCCTCTGTGCTGTGTTAACGTGTCTGCTTTCCATTTGGCAGAGAGACAAGCGAGACACCTCCAACTTCGACAAAGAGTTCACCAGACAGCCTGTGGAACTCACGCCCACGGACAAACTCTTCATCATGAACTTGGACCAAAATGAGTTTGCCGGCTTCTCCTATACTAACCCAGAGTTTGTCATTAACGTGTAGGTGAGCGCCCGCTCCTCGCCGAGCCTGGGGGTAGGACTCCAGGCCGAGTGTACGCATTGATTCGTCTTCCAGATCCGCGGTGCTCCTGCCGGCACTCCAGGGTGGGAGCTGGCCGGAGGCTTCTCTTTGGATGTGTAGCTTGCTGGTTTGTTTTCTACATTTGAAAAATGTTTAGTTTAGAGTAAGCGCTTTATCCAAGTAGAAAGGAACCGTTTTCCAATCTTCCAGAAACTCATCAAATGAACAGACGATGTCAAAACTACCATGTCTGATCCCAAAATGCTTCAGTATTTGTAATTTTTAAAATCAGAAGCTGATGTTCCTAGTGAAAGTTTTTACAGCTGTTCTGCAGTATTACCCTTGAATGCTAAGCATGACTGGTGTTTTTAAAAATAGTGAGTAAGCTTTGCAGTTACTGTGAACTGTTGTCTCTTGGAGGAAATTTTTTGTTTAAGAATTGACATGATTAAACGGAGTTAATATATGCAAACTCTCTTGTTACCATGTCTGCTTTGAAATAGACTCCGGTACAGAGGTTGCAAATTGGAGAACCATAGTCTAATGCAGCCAGGACATGAGCTTTGCGCCACATGCACAAAATTTTATTTAATTGACGGCATTGTCAAGATTTTTTTTAAATGCGATATTTTAAGTTTCTTGGCTTTCAGAGTCACTTGAAAAAAAATCAAAAGACTGGCAGTACTGAGCCTTGGTTCCCATGTGGAAATAATTTGACAGAACTGACTCATGGCTGTCTCCTTTAAGAGCAATGTGTGCTCTCATTTTACCACAGTCTCCACCATGCCCTATCGTCTATATTTTTTATCTACCTACCTGGCCGCGGTAGCCATCTGCAGGTGAGACATTTGAGAGTCACAAGCTTAGTGACCTCAGTTTTTCCTGTGCCCATAATCAGAGTATCTGCTCAGTCACCCAGTCGGTGTGTTTAGTGTGCATTAAATCCTCAAGCATGAAGTAGACAACAAAAATGTCATTCTAGCCGTGACAGAGTCAGCACAGAGGCTGCTGGCGACATAGTGACACCACTTTTCAGCATTGTGCGAGGATGACATTATAAAACTACTTACCTTTCACTATTTTCTCCTAACTTAGCATCTGCAAAAAACCAAACAAATAGCAACAAAAAACCCCCCACGGGGCATATGTCCTTCCCTCCTGCCCAAGGAGGCCAGAGACGGGGGCAGGCAGGGCGGGCTCTTCTAAACGCTGTTGGCTTGGGAAGGAGCCGTCTCCCTGGCAGCAGCGTGCACATCGCTGCATCGCGGTATCGCCTGCTGCCTCCTCTGAAGGAAGTCACGCTTAGGCTTCTTGTTGAAAGATCGGTAATGCAGCCTACAGCACGTGCCTCAGAGCGGCCAACGCCTGTGGGTAGCAGAAAAGGACAAACCTGACCCGCCAAGTATGTTGTGACTCCACGGAGTTTATTCATCCCCTTGGAAGACGCCCGGCAATGGAGTATTGAGGAGACAGCGGATCTATTGATCCTCGGAATTTTAGAAACGCTGCCAATTAAAATTGAGTAAAGCCAACTTAAAGAAGGAACTGTGCTCTAACGCATCACATTCAGAAAACAAAAACACATGGCTTTCTATCGATGTTGGGTGACATGTTCCATTTAAGATAATATTATAGAAGAGGTTGCCGTGCTACCCACTTCATGCCAGCCCCTCATATTTTCTCCCTTTGCTGGATATAAACCTGTCTGTCACTTCACAAATATTGAGCACTTGCTCTGAGCCCAGCCTAGTTCTGGGTGCTGGGGAGAAAGTGACAAGATAGTATAGGACTGTCCATTCACTGGGAGGAGACTGCAGAATTCCCAGCCTCTCCTGGGACAACTCCTATAAAGCTCTGCACTTTACTCTGATTGGCTCAGCCTGGCCAGCACTGTGCCCGGGGTAGAGAGGGGAGGCGGGTGAGGGGCTTTGATTGGCCAGACCTAAGTTGTATATATTGCTGTGTAACAAATTACTCCAAAATTTTGAAACAAATATTTATTACCTCTCAGGGTCTGTGGGTGGGAAAGTGGGTGTGGCTTAGCTGGTGTAATGCTTGTCCTTGAGGGTGCAGTCAAGCCGTCGGCCAGGATTGCAGTCACACATGAAGGGTCAACTGGGGGGAGGTGGGACTTATGTCCATGCTCACGTACATGGCCTTTGGCAGCCTCAGTTCCTCAACAGAGAGCATCTCCATGGGTGCCTCTGGCCATGGCCACTGGCTTCCCGGATATGAATGATGCAAGTGAGAGCGCCTAATCCAGAAACCATTCATCTCAGAAGTAGCCCCATCTTATTGCTGTTTTCTGTTCTTTAGAAGCAAGTCAAGAAACCCCGCCCTTGCCCTGACCGGTTTGGCTCAGTGGATAGAGCGTTGGCCTGTGGACTGAAGGGTCCCGGGTTTGATTCCGGTCAAGGGCATGTACCTTGGTTGCGGGCACATCCCCAGTAGGGAGTGTGCAAGAGGCAGCTGATCGATGTTTCTCTCTCATGGATGTTTCTAACTCTCTATCCCTCTCCCTTCCTCTCTGTAAAAAAAAAATCAATAAAAAAATTTTAAAAAGAAACCCCGCCCTCACTGAAGGGGAGGGATTCCACGAGGGGAGCATTCCGGGTGGGGCCTCTGGGTGTCGGCTTAGTGACTGCCTTCCTCACACACCTTGAGCGGCACCTCTGGAACTGGGTAGCGTGCCACCCACACCACAGGGACGGAGGGTGGGCGGGAACAGCTCTCCGAATGAAAACTGGAAGCTGTTCTTGGAACAAGGTGGGTGTATGCTCAGGAAGCAAGCCACCATGGTGGGTTCTCCCCAGATGGGAATTCAGGGCTGCCCTGAAGATTCTCAATACTGAGACTCAGTTAAAAGACTGACTCACTGGGTCCTCACAGGTCGCCATTGTTTCACTGCCAAGCTACCACCAAGGGCAGGGGCCGAAATGTGAACTTGTGATGAGTCATAGTCCTTTGCCTTCAGGGACTCAAAATCCACCAAGAAGATGCGTTGGTAGAAACATACACACAATAGAAGTCTATGTCAGTCATCTACTCTGAGTGACAACCACCTCCACACCCACACTGAGTGTCTTTTAAAATCACCGTGTATTTAACTCAGTGGTGGTTTTTCTGGTCTGGCCACCCCAGCGTATCTGTGATGGACTTGCTGTGTCTCCTCAGTCAGCTGGAAGGTCAATGGTGACAGATGGCCTAGGTCGGCCACATTCACATGTGTAGTGTCTGACACGCTGGCTGGCCTCGGGGAAGCTCAGTTGGAAGGACTGGTTTTTGCCCCGAATGCTCTTGTGTGTTCCAGCTAGGTCTTCTTCAGCTGGTGGTTTTAAGGACGCCCAAAGAATAGCAATGAGAAGCAAGGCCTAGTGCCTGGGCACTTTTCAAGCCTCTGCTCTGTCATGTTTGCTGCTTTCCCATAAGCCAAACTCCAGGGGTGGAGACACAGGTTCCCCTTGTGGATGGGGCACTGCAGAAACACCCTGCAGAGGCTAATGGGCACAGGGTAGGAAAACGTGTGGCCATTTTGTATCCACTACACAGTCCATCAGTGGACCTGTTCATGAACTCGGGGGGCATTAAAGAAATAAGACAGAAGACAAAGAAATTGCCAGGAACTTCTTGGGCTTCCCATGGGCAGACCACATGGATGACCAGAAGGTGGTAGTCTTACTTGTCTCTTCAAACTCAACATACAAAGACCCAGCGCCAGAGTTCAGGCTTGTCAGCTGGACAACCAGAGCCAACTAGAGAGCTGAGGTGTAGGCTCTTCAAACCAAGGAGGACAAAATGCTTAAACCTTCGGGTGTTGTTCCTGCCATGGTTCTTTTTCTAACCCCGCATAGCTAAGATGCTGGAGAAATCTGGGAGGACTGCAAAGCAAGATAAATGGGGACCAAATCTAAAAGTCCAAAGCCAACTGTCTCAGGTCCTGTATCTTTCCTGGTTTTGAGGTTAAATTGCTTTGACCTACAGGGGATTCTGCTGCTCACCACTTCCTAGACAAACAGTACAGGCTCCCAACGTGAATTCTAATTTCCCCAAACAATAGATGTTTGAGCTCTAGAGTCCTGGCTCAATGATTGAACCACACTCTCCACTGTGGATCTTGTTTCATAAATGCTCTTCTCCCTGGTGTGTGGCCTCCCAAATTAGGCCAGATGTCAGGGTAAGAATGAAGTGAACAAGAGATGCAAGAACATTCTGTTCTGTTTTCAAATAGTCACACTTCCTCCCAAGGTCCAAGAGGCAAAAAAATGCAGAGAGGACAGGGCCTAGCAAATGAAGATTTGCTCAGGTGGGTTGGATCACGTGGTGAGTTCCTAGGTATTGTGTGGGTTGTTGATCTCCGTTAACAAATTACTTATTGATCTCTGTTAACAGATTAGCCCAAACAAAATACATTTATGAGCTCACAGCTTCTGTAGGTGGGTCAGGACTCCAGGCACAGTGGGTGGACCCTCAGAAGCAGCAATCGATGTGTTGGCTGGGGCTATGGTCTCCACTTCTAAGCTCGCTCACATGGTTGCTGGCAGGATTCAATTCCTTGTGAGCCATTCCACCAAGAGCCCCCGTTCCTCACCGGCTCTTGGCTGGAGGCTGCCCTCAGTTCCTCCCCACGTGGGCCTTTCCAAAATGACTGCTCACTTCACCTAAGTGCACCCGCTAGGATGGCACTAGGGAGACCATCAGTAAGACGGGAGTTCCACTCTCCTGTGAATGAAACAGGAGTGGCAGTATATCATTTTCACAGTGAATTCTGTTTATTACAAACAAGTCACTAAATCCAGCCCACCCTTAGGAAGAAGGGATTGCACAAGAACTAAGGGGGGAAGGCAGGGACTATTGGGAGCCACGTCAGAAGCGGCCTACCCTGTGGCGGAAAGGGCGTCCTCCAAGAGACATGATAAGGGATGGCCTATGGGAGAGAAAGGTGGGTCTTAGCACTGTGTCCAATGAATGTGCTCCGTCTTGATCTACCAGATCGAGTGAAGTGGAGGTGGGGAGGCGGCACTGCTGTCTACCATCATTCTCTCTCTGACCCAGAGTTTCCAGGCTGGTGTGGGTGGCCAGGCTGACGCCATTGATCCAAATGGAAATGACTTTTTTCTCAGATCAAAAGATTCAGACTCCTCATGAACAGAAGTAATCACTTATTAAGCCCTTAAAATTTAAGGGCCCCTGGCCTCAAACAAGGAGTTTCCTGGAGCCCCTAAACCGTGAGCAGCATCAGACTGACGTCTCTGCTGCCGTGGAGGAGCAGAAAGCCACAGGGCCAGCAGCAACTCCAGGTGAGGAGCCCTGAGAGAGCCTGACCCCCAGGCCATCCTCAGGAACCCTGTGACAGGGACAGGGCCCAGGGGGGCTCACAGAGGAAGTGGGTGAGAAGGGGGGATGTTTTCAGTTATGCTGAGGAGGAGGAAGCTGACGAGAGCAGCAAGCAGGAAACGCCGCCGACCCATCCTC